TTTGCTGTGTTAAGAGGCTGGATGCCGCGCATTAAACTAGTCACTTTACCTTCAATTATGTTCAATAATCGTTAAAATGACTAAAAAATTGAATATTAAACTTTTAAAATTATTGAATAGTATAAACTTCTTGATATTAACTAAAATAGTAAGGAATTTAAGTCCTAGAACCGATTAATGTATTGGCGGACTGATACTAAAGCTGGTTGCCCGGTCAGTGCAAGCGAAAACATGTTGAGGTCTGTTCGTAAGAAATTCGTTAACCGAAATTTTGTTCGTTAACCGAATTGAAGATCCTTATGGAAGGCAGTTCGTTAACCGAAATTTCGTTAACCGAGGCGTTCGTTAAACGAGGGGTCACTGTATCGACTTTTTGGGAAATGTTACCTAATTTTACGAAGTAGATTGTCATAGAAAAGGGGAAATTTGTATCATACAAAATGGGAAATATCTACTTTCCAGGAAAATTGGTTATCTACTTTCCCGAAAAGTTCAGTGGATAAAGCGTTTTACCTGCCACTCATTGAGGCCCGAGTTCGAGTCGCAGCATTTCTCTCCTTTTCCTTTTTTCTGTTTTTAGTTTTTTCGTCATGGGACACTATTTTCACTGTATTATATCCTAAAAGTTAATGAAAAGTGAAATTGGGCCATAAATTTGACGTTTTTAGGTATTTTAGCGTGCAGTATATTCATATTCGAAGCTTCGAATGCTTCAATGAAGCATCAAAATGATTCAATGAAGCTTCGTGGACGTCACTCTCAACCTTCATATATAAAGTCTCGACTAACTCGCTCGCCCCATTCTTCACCACCATCACTACTCACTGGCTGCAGTTGACAAGCAGGTAAGCCCGAGCTGCCCCACACTTCTAGTCTCAATTATATACGTAATGTTTTTTCCCGACTGTCTACAGTGAAAATGGCCAAGAGAAATGGTTATTCTTTGGGGAAGTGTTTAATATACTTAATTATGGCGTAATAAATGCTGATTTAAGTTAAAACTTGCCAGCGGTTGTTGCAGTTCACTTGCCTCCAAGGGTCGATCCCCAAGATTCACTGGGCTGTATGGCCTATGGTACCTACTTTGCAGCTTAAACAAGTACATTAATATGGTTTAGTATTATATTAAGCGTTTCTCTAACGTCTAACCAGTAATTTCTTAATTTAGGCAAATATATACCGCCAATATGCCATGACAAACGAGCCTAAACTATAGGCCGGTGGTAGGTAGCAGTAAAACGTACATCAGTATTCGTAATAATTAACCAGTAGCGAGTTCAATGACCAGATGGGTTAGATTACTGCATTTACTTTTTAATTTCACATTTTCCCCTTGGAAGCCCAACCCACTTTTGGCGGAGCCGGTGGTCATAACTCAATAATTACGCATGTCTCCAAACGTTCATGATCCCTGTTTCCATTAAAACTTCTACACAATGACTACTGTAGGTTTGACAAATATAACGATTTTTAGCAGATACGATATAAAAATTTGTATTGGCCATTTCTTTACTTACTCTTTAACTACGATTTCTGGAAGTTGAAACAAAATTTATTACAGGTTTTAGCCGGGGTAGTGGGAGCGACCCGGTGAGGCGAGTGAGGAGGCAGCCGAGGCCAGGTAGAACCCGCGGCGGGGCCAGGTAAGGGGGCCGGCGGCGGGGCCAGGTAGGAGCCCGGCCGAGGCGGGCCAGGTGGGGAGCCGGCGAGGGGGCGAGGTGGGGAACCCGGCTGAGGAGGCGAGGTAGGGAGCCCGGCAGACGAAGAGGCGACGGACAGACGTTTCAGAAAGTAGAGGTTGAGGTGTTTCAGTATACAGTATATTAAATAAAGTAACATAGGGTTCCTGGTAAATTTTTAAAAGTGGACAAACCTGGATTTTACCATCGGAAAAACACATTGCCCAACAAAAAGCACCAAAATTAACCTAACGTAACCTAACCTAGAGGTTCGTTGGTTGTCTACTTGTAAAAAAAAATACCAGGTTCTAAAATAAATGTTAGATGTATATGAAGACAGTTAAAATATATTGGTAAATAAAGCAGCAACCATCTAATTAACCTCTGGAAAATGTTAAAATGTTTGGCTAGCCTGAAGATTCATCCCCAGCTTATTTCAGCTGAAGATCAATTAAACCTGAGCCAATCTATGTATTACAATGTGCTGGTGTATCTTTTTCTTTTTCAGATAAAGGAATGACTACAGATCCAACTACAGTTCAAAACCCTATTATTCGTGTGGTGCAGTATGTGGTCAGTGTGGTGCAGTTTAGTGGGGATACCAAGCCACGAGTGTGAGAAGTGAAGCTTCTGACGCTACACAACAGTATTCCTTGAGGTATTATTTTAACGTTTTGTGTGAAGGTGTGTAGTCTGCTATGGTGTCATTTAATGTTTTGTGGGGTGTGGGTGGGTGTAACTTGGCCGGTGGTCGTTTAACTCTGTGTGGAGTTGTGGGTGGGTGTGGCTTGTTGTGGTGTCATATAACGTTTTGAGTGTAGGAGGGTTTGGCTTGTGGGGTCATTTAACGTTTCGTGAGAGGTGTGGGTGTTGTATACTGGTTGTGGGGGGCTGTGGTTGTGTATGAGATGGGTTGTGTTCCCATGAGAAGTAATTGTGCACGAGGTGGGCAGGTGGTTGTGGTGAAGTTTGTCATTCAAACGAAGTGTAAACAAGCTGTCGAGGGGGACACTTAAGGGGGCATGAGAGGGGGGGAAGGTCTAGAAGAGCTGTAGTAAACCTTGTGTATAGTGCATGAAGCAGTCTAGAGATGTGTAGCAGTACCGTATTGGTGTTGGTGAGAAGTAATTTGAGTAAACTAATGTGTAGGTAATGATTTATGTAAACAGTTGGGGACCGTTTAAGTACATGTGGTCTAGTGGCAGATGCAAGTTTAATTTTCATAATACATTAATTACAACTTTAAACATGATGCAGGTGACAGCTGATGTACTGGAAGGCCCATGAAGAAGTGCCAGAACCTTGAACAAGAGTCAACAAGCAGCATGTTACTTCAGCCTCATCAGTTAAGTTACTTATATATCTTGGCTATTATGGTCATCCAAAAAACCACTCAAAACTATGCTCCTACACTGGGTAGTGAAGGGGGTGTGTGTGTGTGTGTGCTGGAGGTGTGTGTGTGTGTGTTGGAGGGGTGTGTGTGTGCTGGAGGGGGTGTGTGTGTGTGTGTGCTGAGGGGTGTGTGTGTGTGTGTTGGAGGGGGTGTGTTGAGGTGTGTGTGTGTGTGTTGAGGGGGTGTGTGTGTGTGTGTGTTGGAGGGGGGTGTGTGTGGTGTGCGTGTGTTGGAGGGGAAAATGGAGGGCCTATGACTGTGTGGACTGACTAGGAGACTGACCTTATAGTAAAATTACATTAGTTGTAGTGACATTATGAATAAATATGCAGGCCTACAAGCCTATTAGTTAGAGAAAATTAGTAGTCTAGTTTAAATGTAACCAGTAAAGCAAGTTGTTGTGGTTGGGTTTCAACTAACTCTACTAACCTAACTTAACCAGCCTAGCTTTGATTAAATGTGTAACAAATCTAGATTGAACTAAATTAGTATTAAGTTATCAATCATACAGTAAATTTATTAAATAAAAAACTTGTTGAAGAACGAAAGTTCAATGTATTTCACTAGCCACTCGTGTTAACTGATCATGAATACAGAAAGTGAATTTTGAATTTAGATAAAATTGAGACTTGTGTAAATTATTAAAAAGTGATAACTTGTGTACAGTTGGACACATTTTAAGTACATGTGGTCCTGTGGTAAATGTATATTGTATGTTTAACATTTATTGTATACATAAATTACAACTTTAAACATGTTGCAGGTGACAGCTGATGCACTTGAAGGCCAATGTAGAAGAGACAGAACCTTGAGCAAGATTTAACACCCAGCATGTTACTTCAACCTCATCAGTTAAGTTACTTTTATATATTAGCTAGTAAGGTCATCCCATAAACCAAGCAAATTGTGCTCCTACACTGGGCAGGACTGTGTGTGATGGAGGGCCCTGGAGGACTGTGTGGACTGACTGTAGACTGATATTAGAGTAAATTAATATTAGTTGTAGTGACTATAAATATACAGGACTACATGCCTATTGGTTATTCGAGAAAATTAGTATAGTAGTAAATATAGCAAGAAAAGCAATTTGTTGTTTGGTGGGTTTCAACTAACTTTACTAACCTAACCATCCTGACTTAGATAAAACATAACTAACCTAGACTGATCATATCTGCATTAAGCAATATTATACAAAACAAATTTCATAATATACTTAAAGAACATTAATTCAAACTATTTTATGAGCCACTTATGTTTACTGATCATGAATACAGAAAGTTAATTTTCAAGTAAGATAAAATTGAGACTTGTAAATTATTAAAATTTGAAAAATTGTGTACTGTTGGAGTCTGTTCATGTACAGGTGGCCTAGTGGTAGAAGGATATTGTATGTTTAACCTGCATTCCACATAAATAACAAGAAAAATATTGCAGGTGAAAGATGATGTACTTGAAGGCCAACATAGAGGAAGTGACAGAACCAACCTTGAGCAAGATGTAACACACATGCTAATTCAGCCTCCCCAGTTAAGTTACCTATGTCTTCGTATGGATATCCTAAACACCACTGAATGTAAGAATGAAAATGAGTGACTTGCTTTGTGAGAAGGGTTGGGAGGAAGGAACATTGGGCAGTGGAGGGGAGCTCGCACGCTGGGCAGTGGAGGGGCGCTGTGACGTTGGGCAGTGGAGGGGCGCTAAATCGTTGGGCAGTGGAGGGCCGTACGTTGGGCAGTGGAGGCGCTCGTACGTTGGGCAGTGGGCCTCATCGTTGGGCAGTGGGCGCCCGTTGGGCAGTGGGCTCATCGTTGGGCGTGGGCGGCCATCGTTGGGCAGTGGAGGCGCTTCGCCATTGGGCAGTGGAGGCGCTAAATCGTTGGGCAGTGGAGGCGCTCGTCGTTGGGCAGTGGAGGGGCCAGACGTTGGGCAGTGGAGGGGCGCTCATACTTTGGGTAAAATGGCATGTACTGTGAAGGAATGTTGTGGATGATGCCTGTGAGAAGACTGCTGTAGCCATAAGAGCAGGAAGGCTGGTGCTCACGTGTAAGGTGTTATATAGGAGGGTGCTCAAGTGTATGGATATATGTAAGGATGCAAGTATAGAATGCAATAAATTTTGGGGTAAATGTTGTGTATTGATAATGCTACATTAATGTTAATGAAGAATGATCTAAATTCAAAATCTTATTACAGGTGGTTGGCGTTCAAGATCGATGTACCGGATGTGAAAGCAAGATGGCCAGATGACCTCAGCGACTGTTCTGTACTGTCAACCATCCCACAGCCCACACCTTCATGACTACCACATTATGAAGCACAAATTTATTTATGCAATTAAGAATTGAGAAAATATTTAAAAAGTACAGTAAAGTAATATTTAAGAATGTGTAAGTCAGCCTCGAGTCAAGCCACACAGATTAAAAAGGTAGATATATTGTGTAATGGTTGGCACTTGTATCGAGAAAGAGAATATAATGTTGGCTCATTATATAATATATGTTCATAATCAAATAAACACTGAATAAATTTGACATGTTCTATACTCCGATTTTGGAAAAGTAGAATAATAATGATCTTGCAAACTGAACTTGAAACCTGAAGGTGAGGTGCAAAGTATATGGATCCTCTTTGATGCCAACATGATAGCCTATGTACACTAATTGACATCCAAGATGCCAGCCTATGTAGAACTGTTACAAACTAATGCCCAAGTAGTGACCTATTGAGTATGCAAAATCAAAACAAAAGATGACCACAGGACTGTACCTACAGATGGCATTGTAATATCTCCTTTCAGTGCAGTTATTACAAGGTGTACATAAAAAATGCATCCTTATGGTGGTGCTAGACAATGACACCTCGGAGACAAGAGGTGTTGGTGTTCATTTTTAAATTCATCGGCCATGTCCGTAATGATACGTTTTTTATTCTGTATAGATACTATTATTTTGAAAGTACTGTAATGTATACATAGTGCATGAAAGTAAAGTACAATAGGGATTTTACTTACGGAATGTTGACAATCAGGACACTGCACACCAATTGTTAAATGGAAGTCAGTTTTGCCTAAAATTTAGAGAAAAAATCCTTATAAATTTATTATGTACAACACACAAAGTAAAGACTTTGAAATCCAAGGGTCATGTTTAAAGTTGTAACGTTTTGAACGAAATAATTTGATATTTGAACTAAAGTACAGTGGGTGTTGGTGGTAGTGTGTGTGTGTGTATCTCGCAAAATTGTCCTGGGGCACAAACTCCATCCTGGGACAGATGTGAGAAGGGTGTTGAACGCTGTTTACCTAGCAAATATTACACCCCTACCCACTCACTCCCTCACCATACTCGCCTGCCCAAAAAGCTAGCAAATTGTCAAGTGGTGGAAGTGATGAATACTAAATAGATTTGGTTACTTGCATAAATAAAGAAATACCCATATTCTGGTCTGAACTGTACCTGGTCAAAATTATTCATGAAGTACAAGACTTTCATTATTAGATCAAACTAAATCTTGTGTATGACCAAAACCTGACATAAGACAGACAAAATCATTAAGGTTTAGTGTAATAAACTAATCCTTAAGTGGAGTCCATTATAAAGGTTGAATTGGGAAATGCTTGACAGATTATGTGAGTGTGAGGATGCCTCCATCACAATGCATCTGCAGAGAAAAGATGTTATAGTGGTAATGTGCTTATCTTGAGATATAAGGATAATGTTATCTAGTGAGACTTTCCCAACCGTTGCAAGTTCACTGATTAACTCCTACGCTAATACAAGATAATGAAGGTTTTAATTTATTGATTACTAGACATTCAGGTAGTTTTATGTTAACTATTAAGTACCTAGACAGTGCAGGTGTAACACAAAACTAAGGCAATTTGACAAGTTCTTTAGTAATCTTTCTGGACTCTTATTGCAAACTAACACATGTAGTGTATAATAAAAATAAACTATACAATTCTTTTTATTTTTCAAGATTCCCTGTCTACAAAACATAATATACTGTGTACTACATGATTAGTCTTACATTATTGAACATGGTTTTGTGACCATTAATTGTGAGTGTATACCTGTATATAAATTATCTCATTTCTCGTTACTATCCATCTATAAAAAGCTAAAATACTACATTGATGGTCTTAGTAAATATAGTTACTGTACCTTGTATTATAAATTGGTCTGAAAACAAAGTTTATGAGGTGATAATATCTGCAACACTGCAGTAGCCCTCCTCCTTTATCCGGGCTGGGGACAGACATGTTCAGTTGAACAAGGCAGAGTTACTACTGTGTACAGTGATCCCTCGGTTAACGAGTCGACTTCAACATGCTTTCGCTTGCATTTGGCGGTCACCAGCTGTAATATTAGTCCGCCAATACAGTAATGGGTTTTAGGGCTTAAATTCCTTACTATTTTAGTATATATCAAGAAGTTTATACTATTCAATAATTGTAAAAGTTTAATATTAACTTTTTTAGTCATTTTAACAATTATTGAACATAATTGAAGGTAAAGAAACTAGTTTCTGGCGTGCCATCCAGCCTGTTAACACACCAGACAGGCATTAGTCTCTCTCTGTTTTCAGTGGAGGTAACATCTTGCTTGAGACTCTCCAACTAAAAGCTTTTTTCTGTGTTTCCAAGCAAATTATTGGTCATTTTGAAATTTATTTTACATATTGACAATATATAATGCAGAGTTGATTTAAAGAAAATAATCTTGAATTACACCAAGAGAACTAAAATTTTATGGGTGAAATGGTGCCATGGGGTGACTTCTCTTCCACCCCAATGCCTTCTCTTCTCCCTTCTCCACCCCCATTCTAATTCCCATCATCATCATCATCCACGACCCTTCTACATACACACCTTAAAGTAAGTGTACTTTTCTACCTTTTTTGTTGAATTTAGGCAATTTTCGGTGAGCTGGAACCAATTACCCAAAAACCCATTGAAACAATGGTTTCGGTTAACGAGCAACCTGCGGGAACGGATTGTGCTCGTTAACCGAGGGACCACTGTATCTACAAGCTCAGGAGTACCCATACTGTGATTTTCAGCAAAATCTAATTTTTGGCCAAAAACCACCAAAAATTTAAGTCTTACACCTTACAAAATTTTTGACCATAATATACTTTTTAGTCAGAATTTAAATTTAAGGGGTTTAACTAATTCAGAATACACACAAACCCTATATCACACCTTGGAAACCCATAGTTAATGAGTAATTAGCATTGAAAAAGTCAGTAAAATCGTTCAAGGGTCATTTTGGCCACTAATTACTCTGCAATTGAATCGTGGACCACATATTCATAAAGAGCAAGCTCAGGTGTACCCATACTGTGATTTTCAGCAAAATCAAATTTTTGGCCAAAAATCACCAAAAATGTAAGTCTTACACCTTACAAAATTTTTGACCAAAATATACTTCTTAGTCAGAATTGAAATTTAAGGGGTTTAACTAATTAAGTACTTTCAGAATAACACACAAACCCTACATCACACTTTGGAAACCCATAGTTAATGAGTAATTAGCATTGAAAAATGTCAGTAAAATCTTTCAAGGGTCATTTTGGCCACTAATTAATCTGCAATCGATTTGTGGACCACATATTCATAAAGAGCAAGCTCAGGAGTACCCATACTGTTGTTCAAATGGCTTTTAGAAAATGTTCAAATTATTTTTAGAATATTTTAATTACTTTTGCAATGCTAATTACTCGCCACTTAGGGGTTTTCGAGGTCATTTCTTGGTGCTTGTGTATTATTCTGGATGTACTTACATAGTTAGGCACATTAAATTTTAGTTCAGAGAGAAAACGTATTTTGGCCAAAAATCCTTTTTAAGGCTATAGACTTACAATTTTTGTCATTTTCGCCAAAAAATGGATTTTTGTCTAAAATTTCAGTATAGGTACTCCCTGAACGTGCTGCTTAAGGATCTGTTAACCAAAATTTGATATCTTGATTATAACTTGTTCAAATGGCTTTTAGAAAATGTTCAAATGATTTTTTAGAATATTTTAATTACTTTGCACGCTAATTACTCGCCACTACTGGGTTTTCGAGGTCATTTCTGGTGCTTAGTATTATTCTGATGTACTTAAATAGTTAGGCACATTAAATTTTAGTTCAGAGAAAAAAAGTATTTTTGGCCAAAAATTCTGTAAGGGGTAAGCCTTACAATTTTTGGCATTTCGTCCACAAGTGGATTTTGTTCAAAATTTCAGCATAGGTACTCCTGAATGTGCTGCTTAAGGATCTGTTAACCAAAATTTGATATCTTGATTATAACTTGTTCAAATGGCTTTTAGAAAATGTTCAAATGATTTATAGAATATTTTAATTACTTTTGTAATGCTAATTACTCGCCACTTATGGGTTTTCGAGGTCATTTCTTGGTGCTTGTGTATTATTCTGGATGTACTTAAATAGTTAGGCACATTAAATTTTAGTTCAGAGAAAACGTATTTTTGGCCAAAAATCCTTTAAGGCTATAGACTTACAATTTTCGTCATTTCGGCCAAAAAATGGATTTTGTTCAGAATTTCAGTATAGGTACTCCTGAATGTGCTGCTTAAGGATCTGTTAACCAAAATTTGATATCTTGATTATAACTTGTTCAAATGGCTTTTAGAGAATGTTCAAATGATTTTTAGAATATTTTAATTACTTTTTGCAATGCTAATTACTCGCCACTTATGGGTTTTCGAAGGTCATTTCTTGGTGCTTGTGTATTATTCTGGATGTGCTTAAATAGTTTAGGCACATTAAATTTTAGTTCAGAGAAAAGCATATTTTTTGGCCAAAAATCCTTTAGGCTATAGACTTGTTTTTGTCATTTTCGGCCAAAAATGGATTTTATTCAAAATTTCAGTATATAGGTACTGCTGAACGTGCTGTAGGATCTGTTAACCAAAATTTGATATCTTGATTATAACTTGTTCAAATGGCTTTTTAGAAAATATTCCAAATGATTTTTAGAATATTTAATTACTTTTGCAATGTAATTACTCGCCCTTATGGGTTTTTTCGAGGTCATTTCTTGGTGCTTGTGTATTATTCTGGATGTACTTAAATAGTTAGGCACATTAAATTTTAGTTCAGAGAAAAACGTATTTTTGGCCAAAAATCCTTTAAGGCTATAGACTTACAATTTTTTGTCTTTAAATAAAAATGGATTTTTGTTCAAAATTTCAGTATAGAGTACTCTGAGCGATGCCTTAGGATCATTAGCAAATTTGATATCTTGATTATAACTTGTTCAAATGGCTTTTAGAAAATGTTCAAATGATTTTTAGAATATTTAATTACTTTGCAATACTGATGCTAGCCATATGGGTTTTGGTCATTTTCTTGGTGTATGTATTATTCTGGATGTACTTTAATAGTTAGGCACATTAAATTTTAGTTCAGAGAAAACGTATTTTTGGCCAAAAATCCTTTAAGGCTATAGACTTACAATTTTTTGTCATTTTTCGGCAAAAAATGGATTTTGTTCAAATTTCAATTATAATTGCACTGAACGTGCTGCTTGGATCATATTAACCAAAATTTGATATCTTGATTAACTTGTTCAAATGGCTTTTAGAAAATGTTCAAATGATTTTAGAATATTTTAATTACTTTTTGCAATGCTAATTACTCCGCCACTTATGGGTTTTTCTAAAGGTCATTTCTTGGTGCTTGTGTATTATTCTGGATGTACTTAAATAATTTAGGCACATTAAATTTTTAGTTCAGAAAAACGTATTTTTGGCCAAAATCCTTTAAGGCTATAGACTTTTTTACAATTTTTGTCATTTTCGGCCAAAAAATGGATTTTATTCAAAATTTCAGTATAAGTACTCCTGAGCGTGCTGTAGGATCTGTTAGCAAAATTTGATATCTTGATTATAACTTGTTCAAATGGCTTTTAGAAAATGTTCAAATGATTTTTAGAATATTTTGATACTTTTGCAATGCTAATTACTAGCCACTTATGGGTTTTGGAGGTCATTTCTTGGTGCTTGTGTATTATTCTGGATGTACTTAAATAGATTGAGCACATTAAATTTTAGTTCAGAGAAACGTATTTTTATTGCCGTCCTTTAAGGCTATAGACTTACAATTTTTTGTCATTTTCGGCCAAAAAATGGATTTTGTTCAAAATATCAGTATAGGTACTCCTGAGCGTGCTGTAAGGATCTGTTAACTTAAAATTTGATATCTTGATTTATAACTTGTTCAAATGGCTTTTAGAAAATGTTCAAATGATTTTTTAGAATATTTTGATACTTTTTGCAATGCTAATTACTCGCCACTAATGGGTTTTCGAGGTCATTTCTTGAGTACTTGTGTATTATTCTGGATGTAATAGCAAAATAGTTAGGCATTAAATTTTAGTTCAGAGAAAACGTATTTTGGTAAAAATCCTTTAAGGCTATAGACTTTAATTTTTGTCATTTTCGGCCAAAAATGGATTTTGTTCAAAATTTCAGTATAAATTACTCCTGAACGTGCTGTAAGATCTATTAACCAAAATTTGATATCTTGATTATAACTTGTTCAAATGGCTTTTTAGAAATGTTCAAATGATTTTTTAGAATATTTTAGTACTGCAATGCTAATTACTCGCCCTTATGGGTTTTCGAGTCATTTCTTGGGGCGCTTGTGTATTATTCTGGATGTACTTTAATAGTTAGGCACATTAAATTTTTAGTTCAGAAAAACGTATTTTGGCCAAAAATCCTTTGAGCTATAGACACAATTTTTGTCATTTTCGGCCAAAAAATGGATTTTGTTCAAAATTTCAGTATAGAGTACTCCTGAGCGTGCTGCTTAAGGATCTGTTAACCAAAATTTGATATCTTGATTATAACTTGTTCAAATGGCTTTTAGAAAATGTTCAAATGATTTTTAAATATTTTAATTACTTTTGCAATGCTAATTACTCGCCACTTATGGGTTTTGAGGTCATTTCTTGGTGCTTGTGTATTATTCTGGATGTACTTAAATAGTTAGGCACATTAAATTTTAGTTCAGAAAACGTATTTTTTGGCCAAAATCGCTGGGCTATAGACTTACAATTTTTGTCATTTTCAGCCAAAAAATGGGTTTTGTTCAAAATTTCAGTATAGGTACTCCTGAATGTGCTGCTTAAGGATCTGTTAACCAAAATTTGATATCTTGATTATAACTTGTTCAAATGGCTTTTAGAAAATCTTCAAATGATTTTTAGAATATTTTAATTACTTTTGCAATGCTAATTACTCGCTACTTATGGGTTTTCAAGGTCATTTCTTGGTGCTTGTGTATTATTCTGTATGCACTTAAATAGTTAGGCACATTAAATTTTAGTTCAGAGAGAAAAAGTATTTTTGGCCAAAAATCCTTTAAGGCTATAGACTTACAAATTTTGTCATTTTCGGCCAAAAAATGGATTTTGTTCAAAATTTCAGTATAGGTACTCCTGAATGTGCTGCTTAAGGATCTGTTAAACAAAATTTGATATCTTGATTATAACTTGTTCAAATGGCTTTTAGAAAATGTTCAAATGATTTTTAGAATATTTTAATTACTTTTGCAATGCTAATTACTCGCCACTTATGGGTTTTCGAGGTCATTTCTTGGTGCTTGTGTATTATTCTGGATGTACTTAAATAGTTAGGCACATTAAATTTTAGCTCAGAGAGAAAAAGTATTTTTGGCCAAAAATCCTTTAAGGCTATAGACTTACAATTTTGTCATTTTCGCCAAAAATGGATTTTGTTCAAAATTTCAGTATAGGTACTCCTGAATGTGTGCTTAAGGATCTGTTAACCAAAATTTGATATCTTGATTATAACTTGTTCAAATGGCTTTTAGAAAATGTTCAAATGATTTTTAGAATATTTTAATTACTTTTGCAATGCTAATTACTCGCCACTTATGGGTTTTCGAGGTCATTTCTTGGTGGCATTGTGTATTATTTGGATGTACTTAAATAGTTAGGCACATTAAATTTTAGTTCAGAGAGAAAACGTATTTTTGGCCAAAAATCCTTTAAGGCTATAGACTTACAATTTTTGTCATTTCGGCCAAAAAATGGATTTTGTTCAAAATTTCAGTATAGGTACTCCTGAATGTGCTGCTTAAGGATCTGTTAACCAAAATTTGATATCTTGATTATAACTTGTTCAAATGGCTTTTAGAAAATGTTCAAATGATTTTTAGAATATTTTAATTACTTTTGCAATGCTAATTACTCGCCACTTATGGGTTTTCGAGGTCATTTCTTGGTGCTTGTGTATTATTCTGGATGTACTTAAATAGTTAGGCACATTAAATTTTAGTTCAGAGAGAAAACGTATTTTTGGCCAAAAATCCTTTAAGGCTATAGACTTACAATTTTCGTCATTTCGGCCAAAAAATGGATTTTGTTCAAAATTTCAGTATAGGTACTCCTGAATGTGCTGCTTAAGGATCTGTTAACCAAAATTTGATATCTTGATTATAACTTGTTCAAATGGCTTTTAGAAAATGTTCAAATGATTTTTAGAATATTTTAATTACTTTTGCAATGCTAATTACTCGCCACTTATGGGTTTTCGAGGTCATTTCTTGGTGCTTGTGTATTATTCTGGATGTACTTAAATAGTTAGGCACATTAAATTTTAGTTCAGAGAGAAAACGTATTTTTGGCCAAAAATCCTTTAAGGCTATAGACTTACAATTTTTGTCATTTCGGCCAAAAAATGGATTTTGTTCAAAATTTCAGTATAGGTACTCCTGAATGTGCTGCTTAAGGATCTGTTAACCAAAATTTGATATCTTGATTATAACTTGTTCAAATGGCTTTTAGAAAATGTTCAAATGATTTTTAGAATATTTTAATTACTTTTGCAATGCTAATTACTCGCCACTTATGGGTTTTCGAGGTCATTTCTTGGTGCTTGTGTATTATTCTGGATGTACTTAAATAGTTAGGCACATTAAATTTTAGTTCAGAGAGAAAAAGTATTTTTGGCCAAAAAGGGTTTACCTAAGAAAGTACTTTCAGAATAACACACAAACCCCAAATCACACCTTGCAAACCCATAGTTAATGAGTAATTAGCATTGACAATTGTCAGTAAAATCTTTCAAGGGTCATTTTGGCCACTAATTACTCTGCAATCGAATCGTGGACCACATATTCATAAAGAGCAAGCTCAGGAGTACCCATACTGTCATTTTCAGCAAAATCTAATTTTTGGCCAAAAACCACCAAAAATGTAAGTCTTACACCTTATAAAATTTTTGACCAAAATATATGAGAGATTCAATGAAATTAGATAGTGACATTTCTTTATCGGTAATGAGTTTTCCAGCACCTTAACTGAAAAGGGAGAGAGACAAGGAAAAGTCAATTTTCCAAAATGGCAACTTTCTTACAAACAATGCCAAGGTTATTTTTACCTTATTTATTTTTATCATTTTACCACTTATTAGATTACTAGCCATTTGGAATGATTTGTTAGAGGGCAGCACATGTCTTGACTCTGTATTAAAGTGGGTTTCCATCTCATTTAAAAGGTGACCAAGGAATGGAATGGCTAGGTTTTTACTGTAGCTGCAATTTACTTGATGCCTACTGTACTTATGCATGACTTTGATACCATTTCACCAACACTCTCAACAAGCTGGGAGGCCTTGGTCAACCACATTCTAAAGTAATCTTTCTTATCACTATGAATTTCCTTGATTTGTTCACTGGCCATGTTTATCATTTTGTGCACCTCAAATTAATCTAAATTGCTAAGCTGAAGTTTGGCAGTAACATGTCAAGACATGGCTTCGATAAACAGTATCAACTGAATGCCTGTCTGAATTGTACTGTACTGTACATGCTCAGCGTGCATAAGACAAAAATTATTAGATAGAAAGAAAGCCTTCATTGAAGATGTGATTAATCATTTTGAAGTTGATAAGCATAACGTAAAGCATTTATTTAACCATTGAAATTGTGCTGCTAAGCAAGTCACCATCGTCACAGACAGTCATCCCTAGATTTTCATGATTAATGATATAAAATTAATAATTTCAGTGAGTAATAATTTGGTAATAACACTGATAAGAGATATTGCAGATTGTACATTACTGGAAAGTAACTAATACTTTATCATACTTTTATACGGATGTATACAAGTGTATGTACCTGTTTTGAATAAACTGATATGTCAGGTCTTGTCTTGCTTTCTTGCAGCCCCCCTGGAAAAATCCTGCGGCCGCCCGTGGCAGCACCTGTCCTCTCTTGTATTGGTTAAGGAAGGCTACAAAAGCTTGATATCCTGCAAAACGAAGCAATGAGAATAATTTCAGGAAGTCAAAAGAATGCAATGATTGAGATATTAAAAATGGAGCTAGGGATACAGAACATTTCACACAGTTGCATTACAGTGATCCCTCGGTTAACGAATTTTTCGGTTAACAAGCAACCTTCTAGAACGAATTGTGCTCGTTAACCGAGGGATCACTGTAATTCGATTAATGAGAGAGAATAGTGGGGGTAAACTTTTATTAGATATAAATGTTGGCTTAAAAAATGAAAGGACCTTCTGGAGGCAAGGCAAGGTAGGAGAGGATACACGAAAGGATTAATTTACATAATTAAAAACTATAATTTGACAAACTGGTGAACAGCTATTTGGAAAAGTTGTAGGATCCACCCTGGGAGTAGTAATTTACATAAAATAAACACATTGCATGTATATTATGACGGTTCAGTTGTGCCAAGTGGCAGGGCAGGGTGTAGGATCTTATAAGGCAGTACACAGAACAAGGTACTGATGACACTAAAACTGGACTTCAGATGATCAAGTTCATATCATCATTACAAGCCGAGTTACAGAATATGCAGTGTTAGCAGCATGGGAAAATGTTGTATAGAGGAGTAAAGATGTTTATTTTCTTGTAGATGGTCCAGCAGCTGACTTGTGTGTAGGCCATTAAGAAACAACTTAAAAGATGTTTTTTAAATTTTTCCAATTATAATGAGGAATCAAATCCCCAAAAAGGCTCATTCCCAAAAGAAACAACATCCAGAATCGACTAAAAACCACCAAAATTCACCAGAAAAATTATTTATTATGCCAAAATATACTAACTTCCTATTACCATGTACCTACTACCCAAGACAAGACAAGACAAGCCAAACCTAACCTAACCTGACAAAAACTATGCATTTGCCCAGGAAATGCCATAGAAGAAAATCGATTCCTTATTAAAAAAATAAAGTAAAGGTGTAGAAAAGGGCGACCACCATAAGTTTTCTTGATTTTCTTGATTTTTGCTACACTTGTGTTGATGATTTTAAGTACATTAAAAGAAACGACAACTTTCTAGAATAATTTTAAGTATATTTTTTTAGGATTTTTTTTATTTACTCTATCCCGCTTCACAATTCTCCTCCCGGCGCCATTTTTGTTGTTTAACTCGCTAAATCCCTTTTCAAGAGATTTCCTAAATGTTGGTGAACGCTTCCACGTATTCCTCCTCGCCACTGCTGATGTATATCAACCTCAATATTAAGGTAAGTTGTTTAACACGATAATGCATAGAACCTGACCTAACAAACCATAGGTTGGGTACGTTAGGTCAGGTGTTATTAGGTTCCGGCATTGTCGTTTCCATTTTTTGTGTTTAATATCGTATTAGTGTAGAAAAATTTCAACCAATTCAGACGTAATTATATAGGACTAATCCGCAAGCGAAATTTATTAAAAACAAGTATAAAAACGCCAGATTTTCATTGTTATATTATAGTGGACACGTTGTAGTTTGCGGAAATAAGTTAAAAATAGATATTTTTAAAGTAACGCTACTTAACATTTGTCGGTATGAAAAACAGACCTAACCAACCAAACCTACCTAACCTTACCTAACTTGCCCGGAATATTAAACAAAGAACTTACTATGATAAGGTGAAATTTGAGGCATTTTCTGGACGCGAGATGATACGGCCACATCAGCGCTATGCAGCGCTAGTGGATTAGTCCTACATACAGAATTGACCCAAATCTGAAATAACTATTGGGATAAAAACGAATATAAGCCCTATTAATTTTTGTCAATTCACCAAATTGTCGACAGCAACGAATTATTTCTTACTACAAACTCCAAGTCGCGAGTCCAGAAAACTGTGAGGGCAAACTTTTTCGGGGTGAGGGTTGTAAACTCTTGGAACAATCTACCAGAGAGTGTTGTGATGGCACCGAGTGTGAGCTCTTTCAAGACAAGACTTGACCAACACTGGAGCAGGTTCAGGTACATTCAGGAGCCGGTGCATGCCCAGTACTTGCCAACAGTGCGTGACAGAGACGTGACCGATCGCCCAAGCGGCTAACGAGCCGATCAGTGATGAAGAGGATAAAAGTTATAAACTACACTAATACAAAGGCACCATAATATATAAAAAATGACAGAGTTTATCTTTGCAACTCCCTTTTCATGAAACATCTTCACACAAATCTCCATCTGATGACGGAATAAAACACTCAGTAACTACTTGTTGGGTTGACAAACTTCCATGGCAGTGGTTGACCAACTCTCTAACATCACATGTAACTTAATAATGAAAATAAAAATACCAACAATTTACTCACCACAGAGGGCAGTAGCGACATATGCAGGCAAATGGCTTTCAAGTGACGTCACAATGTTTTTTTTAGTTTGTTTGGGAATTACTGGCCACTTCGCCGTTAGGCTATTTCGGCCGAAGCTGTTTGTTTGCAGAGTCATTTTCTTTGGACTTCTTCCTTTTTTTCCTTTTACTTTTAAATTGCCATTCTTCTTCTTGGTCTTGTTCTGGTATATATTCTTCTTCTTGGTCTTGTTCCACTTTTACTGTGGTCTTGTTGGGGTCTTGAGTCTTCTTTTCTTCGGTCTTGTTGGGGTCTTGATTCTTCTTTTCATCAGTCTTCACTACAAGGAGAGCCTCCTTGTAGCTCAGGTTTTTCTTGCTTCGCAGCTTAGTCATCCTACACTCCTCCCTCCACTTGGGACACTCCTGGTTGGAGGAGGTGTGAGGGCCACCACAAGCTGCGCATTTCTTGTTGGTTGCTGAGCAGTTGGTGTCCTGGTGCCCGGGTGTTCCGCACCAACAACAGACCTCCCGAGCACGACACTTCCCTGCCAGATGGCCGTACTTCTGGCATTTGTAACATCTTGTTGGTCTTCTTTCATATGGTCTTACTGAGATGTTCTCCCATCCCAGCAAAACGGTGCTTGGTAGCTTCGTGGGGCAGCTAACCAGTGCTACTCCACTGGTCAGCTTCCGTACGATTGTGAGCTGGTCTCCGATCAGCTCGGCCAGTTCTTCTTTTTCAAGGTGTTCTATCTCGGTGTGGGAGATAACCCCCAACACCAAGTTGTCCTCTGCGCGAGCTTGCACTAGTATCTGGATCCCGTTGATTTCTGTTATGTTGGCTACTTGCTGGGCCTGTCCCCATTCCGAGAAGGTGACGATAAGGCCACCACTCGCTCTGCGGACCCTTGTCACCCCCTTGATTCCCGAGGAGTCAAAAAAACTTCCTCAGGACAAGGTTTAATTGCTTGCGCGAAGGGCATGTGACTGGGTACAGTCTTACGACCTTCGCCTGGTCACAGTTCAGCATTGCCAGCTTCACGTGGTACCTCGGGAGCTGAGCAGGTGTCACCAAGGGAGTTACCTACCTACCTTGGGTGTTGACGTGTGACGCCATCAACTCAAAATCTTTATCCTAAAAGAACCACATGAATTGATCTCTCTCTCTCTCTCTCTCTCTCTCTCTCTCTCTCTCTCTATATATATATATATATATATATATATATATATATATATATATATATATATATATAACAGAAAGTTACACAGTCCCATTACAATAAACATGCAAAATAATATAATAAATCCTATCATAATTTGTAATAGCATCATTATTTGAGTGTCAGAAATACCTGACCCAACTCTACCACTACATCCATTTTAGAATGGAATGAACTGACAGATCTTTTACAAATCAAAATTGAAGGCAGTACAGTGACTGTACTCTTTACGTGTTTGACAGCTTCCATTATTGCTTCTGCAGCTCCCGGTACATGAATCCGTCCACCAACAAGAACGGGTGTGTGTTGACGTGCTGCGGCCGACCTGCTCCTACCAGTCAATCATCTGTAATTTCCACGTGATTATATAGAATTTATACAAGTTATTTGAATTTTAAACATATTAGGAAACAATTACAAAATATAAGACAGTAAGGTAAGATTCTATGTTAATACTAAATGATTCATAGGCTTCGAAAAATCACAAAATTTAATAATGTTTCGTCACCCACAGTGGAACCTAACATGATTTAATCCCTGGCATATAATGACTCGACTCCATAAATCCGATGTTTTAACGTTTTTAAATATTATCATCGATGACCCATTCCCTTGAGTACAATATTTTACGTAGTTAATAAACCTTACCTTTTCAGACTGAGTGACAAGATGCCTATAAAGTGTAACACAGGATGCCAAAAAAATGCTGTCTTGAAGGTCAGTATTGTACCTGTCATGCTGCAGAGTAGAAAATTATATGTGCCATCTTCAGGGTGTATGTTTTAATGCCATTTTAGAAGGGTTTATATTGTTGATTTTTATGTAATTGTTCAAGTTAGCCTTCTGAAGAAAAAGTATGGATCATTTGAAGATGAGGCGCTCCAGCTTATTTCACCTTATGAGTGATGACCCTAACGTTAACCTCACCTTCCAGGTAGCGGGAAATAATATCTATACAAGTAATTAGTGCAAACCCATGTGGTCTATTGGTGAGTTAATTAACCTGCCAAACTGTATCTTAGGCCAACATTAGTTTTTATATTACTAAACATACTTAACCTGAAATATTAATTTACTGTATTGCTTACAAATTTAATTTACTGTACAGTACAGCTCCTCCCAGACTTACGACCTACTCGACTTACGTGCTCCCGCACTACGACCTGCCTCAGTCGTACCAAAATTTGATCAAATTACGTATATTCGAGTCCTAAAGTCAGTACACAGACAAGATTTTCATCTGTAATTCACTTTAAAATGGCTGGCAAGCTAAAAAGTGAGTGTTTTGTGGTGCTGAGAAGAAAAAGAGATCCTATTTTAGATTTTCTATGTATTATTTAAGCATTCCGAATTACGACCATTTCGACTTACGACCTGTATGTCGGTCCCTAACCCCGTCGTAAGTCGGGGGGCAGCTGTACTGTATATGACATTTTCAGGTGTAATACTTTGTACATTAATGGTATACAAAAGGTATAGTACATTTATAAAACTTTTAAGTGATGTTCAATTTAATATTTTCTGTTAGATTATTATTATTATTGTTGTTATTAAAAATTAATGTTACACAAAATAATGATAATTATGACATTCATTCATAAGACCACAAACAGTGCAGTACAGTACTGTACTAACAAATTGTTCTTATAAAAAATTATGACAGGATAAACACAGTATTGTTATATGGTACGGTACAGTACTATACTGTACTGAACTCTCAAATTTCTCTCACTAAATATTTTATAATTTCATAAAAGAGTTCCTGGTACTGTAGTTGGCAGCTACCAAACAGGGAGGTACTACTGCCTGAGAAGATATTGGAAGCATAATGTGTTGTCTAATGGTAGACCCTGCTGCCATATGGCATCACGAAAATTGTGACCAAGTCCCAGGTTGCTGATCTGACTTTCTGCTTCATTTACACACAATTGCAGGGTCTCAATTGTTTCTCTTACCATTGACAACACAACATACATATATCGTTTCTCACTTTTGATCATTTTTTCATTTTTGTATTTATAGTTCTTTATTATTAAAATTATTATTATTATTACAGTTACTGTATTATTATCATCATTATTTTGTTATTTTATTTTTGTTTGTTTTATCATAAATTTTATTTATTATGAATTATTAAGACTATTATTTATTATTATTATTATTATTATTTATTATTTATTATTATTATTATTATTATTATTATTATTATTATTATTATTATTATTATTATTATTATTATTACATTTTCGCCCCCCAGGCCCCGATGTGGGTCAGTGACCTGTGTCCGGGTGGGCTAATCCCCGCAAAAGAAGAAGAAAAAAAAAAAGAAATACACAAAATACTGGGCAACACTGTAAAAGTTTCCAATACTGTTTCATTATACTGTACAGTACTGTATATACCTGTAGAAGAAGTTTCGTTTGTACAGAATTATATGTCTGTGATAAAGGTTGTGCATGAATTAACATATAGACAAAAACAAGTGAAGAAATTTAGAATAAGTACAGTACAGTACAGTATTGAAGATGAAATTTATAAATACAGTACAAGTATTAGGTACTGTACAGAACTGAACTAACACCTTTCACATTTTGACAGCGGCCTAAAACAGGAGATGCACTGTGTAAGGAATGCTTCTTCTGGGCCTTTGAAGAGGAGGTACATCACACAATCACTGCAGCAAAGCTCTTCACTCCTGGGGATTATGTTGCAATTGCAGCATCAGGTAGAGTTAGCCTGTGTGTTTTACTGTTGGGATACACATCATCTCTTAGCAGGAGTATGGACTCACTAAGGGTCTTCAATTTCTTATGTTATTTATTTGTGCTGTATGTATTTTGTAAAAAGTTACTATATACTTATAAAGCTTTAAATTATTATTGTTATTTTTGCTCGACTTCATGCCCTGTATACATACCATGAACTATCTTCATTATTCCCATTTTGAGTAAATACAAATTTAAATTATTCAAAACTTTTGGTCATACCATTATTGTGTCAATTTTTTCAATCACTGGTAGCCCAAAACAGACTACGGTATTTGCAGGACACTCGTTGAACATCTCTCAAATGGAGGAAAGTCGACCAAGACCAGTTGTACGAGATGTTATGGTAATAATCATACACGTCTCCTCAGCCACTCAGAATGTAACATGACTTAGGCTGGTACTGTGAGCGCTAAACATATTATTCAGACCACTCTATGTTGTTACAGGTGGAAAAGACTCAACAGTTTTGGCATACATTATGAAGTTACTGAATGATCGATATAATTATGGACTCAAATTGGTGTTGCTCTCTGTTGATGAAGGAATTACTGGTAAGTGAACTATTTTTAATTAATTTACTTTTTTTTAATAAATTTCTTCATTTAACTCATACAAGAAGCTATTTCCTGAGCCAGTATAATGTAGTGACCAAAAAAATAGATTACTGTATATGAATCTTAACCCCAAGCTTCTTTCACCCGATAATTAAACAACCTAACCTAAGCTCCCAGGTAGCATTAGGGTGTTAATTACCATCTGGAATCAGTTTTTGTGTGTGTGAATATTTATATGATCCAAAATTTCTTCTTACATCTGCTATCATTCATCCCCTTAATTATATCACCTCTATGGTGTTCCTCTTTAACACAGCCATAAGTTACCTATTGTTTCACACAGTCTAGCATCACCAGTCAACGCTGCGTCCATCTTCAAAAATTTACATATACTAATTATATTGGTGTCCATCCTCTCTCTCTGTCTCTCTCCTACTTCTTATCTCTAAATTAAACAACCTTTTTATGAATACAGTATTTTACATGATATTTTCTCAATAGGTTCAAACATCTTACACAAAAATAAAAGATTGCTCTTGATTTTGTTGCCATTCAGTTGGTGTTCATTTCTCCATCTTCCTTCTGTATTAATTATCACCATAAATTGTGCCTACATATACAATACTTTTTTCTTTTTTAACTTTCTCTTACTACACACTCCTCCAATCTCATTCACCAGCATTTGTAACTTAACCTTTGATTAGCTCACCATAACAGTGTCACCCATACACAGTGGCTGGATCATCCTCCTCCATTTGCACACCTTCATTCTGTACGTCAGTCACTCAGTCCTGGAACACTCTTGATCAGTGTTGCTTTTACTGCACTTACAAACCCAAACCCATCTCCGATATATTGAGTTCATTGCACAATTACATATCCTTGGTGGAGATAATGCTATTTAAATTATTATATAAAAAAGACCTAACATACCATATTTAGTGTTACTTTCATCTATAAATAGGAGTGTTTTTGTACACAGGTTATCGTGATGATAGTTTAGAGACGGTAAAGCGCAATGAACAGCAGTATGATATCCCTCTGAAGGTTGTGTCTTATGAGGAGTTGTATGGGTGGACAATGGACCGTATTGTGCAGGAGGTGAGCATATACCACAGTAAGGAAATTATATCATGATTTTTGTGTACATGTAGACAAACTGTCCATTTTTCTTACCAATAACTTAATCTATTCTCATTATAAGATAGAATAATTAAGACTAGACAGACAGGTGATAATGTAAATTTGTTTTCCCCACAGACTGGCCGTAAAAGCAACTGTACATTTTGTGGAGTGTTCAGAAGGCAAGCACTAGACAGAGGAGCCACTTTATTGGAGGTTGACAAGATAGTAACAGGACATAATGCTGATGACATTGCTGAGACGGTCTTAATGAATATTTTACGAGGTGACATTGCCAGACTTCAGAGATGTACTGCTCTTGTAACTGTAAGTCTTATCATTTTGTATTTATCAACATATTTTTAATGAGAATTTTGTAATCAGGTAATTAGTACAGCATGGAAGATAGGGTATTTCTGGAATTATTGTTTTCTATAAATGAAAATTTAATTAAAATCAAAAGCTATAAGCAATGGTTTAACTGTATTTAAGAATAACAAAAGCAATCAGATTTACCTGATCATTAAACAGTATTGACGGGGTACACCCTATAACTGCACTAGTGAGTTTGTTATGAATTAAGTTGAATTATTTGGTAAATTCTTTAAGTATTGCGGAATACCAGATTATAAACGAAATGCTCTGCAGTATGAAGTGCTTGAAAAGTCCAGTGTACAGGTATACTGTATGTGTAAAATTTCTCTCCATGGTTCATGCACTTAACGTTTAATTTTTCCAGGGTTCTGAGGGTGCTATCTCAAGGTCCAAGCCATTCAAGTACACATATGAGAAGGAGATTGTTATGTATGCATATTTTAAGAAATTGGATTATTTCTCAACCGAGTGCATCTATTCTCCAAATGCCTATCGGGGATATGCCCGAGCTTTCTTGAAGGATTTAGAGAAGATTAGGGCAACTACCATCATTGATATTATCCATTCTGGTGAGCTGAAACATGTATTGCATCAGTTTTCATAACATTTGGTTGTCACTCATTCCTAATGTAGTTCAATTCATGTTGAAGGTGTGTACAAATTGGCCCCTCATAAAACTTGTATTTCATTATAACTTTCCTCTCAGGTTATTAGGTTTGGTTCTATGTTTATGAACAATTTGAACCACACTGCAGTGTTCCTTCCTGAAAGAGCTGTGGCTGCTATGGGGGAATTGACATCTCAACAGATTAGACACAAGTCGCCTTAGTTTAAGGTCCCCTGGGCCACACCCTTAAACTTTGACAGACAATACACATTATCGCTGACCACTTCAGTGATAAAGAGAATTTTTTTTATTTTTTTATTATTATTTTTTTTAACTCTTTAATCATGATGTAGAATTAAAAAAAAAATCAACTCCAGTACTGTTGTTGCATAATCAACACCTGTAAGTGTAGAGATGCTGAATTAATTTAAATGTTTAATGAAGTTTGTACCAAGTCCTGGATGCAGGAAAGAATAAAGTGCAGTTGTTTAATAAGAGAAATAATTCTAATTCAAACAGAATTTTATGCAGTGCAATACTGGTATGCACAAATTACATCTGTACATGTGAATGTTAATTTTACAACAGTTTCTCGTTATCATTTGTTTAGGTGAGTGTTTCTCCGTACGTGAGGGCATCAAGCTCCCAACTCAGTCAACATGTGAGTGTTGTGGCCACATCTCATCTCAGCCTATATGTAAAGCCTGTGTACTTCTCGAGGGTCTCAACAAAGGCAAGCCAAAACTTGGAATCGGTAAGACCTCAAAGGTCCGAGAGCATATGAATGAAATTATAAATGAAAAACTTGGAGATGAACCAAAACAAATTCCCCAGACCACCATTACTGATGCAGGGATCACCGCTACTCACCATAATAAAAATAAAAATTTAGATTTTTGATGACATGAAATTTTTTTAATACCTGTAATTTTAATGTAAAAGTAATAAACCTACAAATAAATGTTTCTTTTACTCTACAATTTGTTAAACCTAATTTCATGGAAATATCTTGTTTATAAAGTGATTTTTATATACAATACTGTACAATAATGGAAAAATTTACACCATTATTAAGAAGTTACAGTATATCACAACTGCTTAATATGTTGTAAATTTTTTAGTTGTGTGTGTGTGTGTGTGTGTGTGTGTGTGTAATAATAATAGTGTAATAGTAATTAACGGTTTATTGAAAGAGCATGGCAGCCGGAAGGCTGAAAATATACAGTTACATAATTGGGGAATGGGTCTCTTGATTTACAAATAATATACAATTAACATAAGTGATATAAATATGATATATAATAACTCGGTGGGGAGAAGGTCAAACTACAGGGCATTTCAACATAGTGACAGTGCAAAAAGTAAGATTGACTGGGAGTGAATACACTGGTTGATTTCAAGTTATTGTGCGTGTGTGTGAAAGTCAAGGTAATCAAATCATATTTTGGAACTACAAAAAGAGACCAATAAAATTTGGGGGGGATATTTGTAGCCCTGTGAGGACTTGAGGAAAATATTTTTCAAGCCTACTTCTCACAGGCTTCAAGTACTGTAGTGTAAACTACTTTTTAAATACTATCAATATTATTTCAAAGGTCAGTAATTAACACTAATTACTCAAATTTTTAAATTGTGAACCCAGATCCTTAATAACCATGGCTGTCATCTACAGTACTTCACTAGGTAGAGGGAGGAAGGCTGTGTCATCTACAGTACATCACTAGGTAGAGGGAGGAAGGCTGTGTCATCTACAGTACATCACTAGGTAGAGGGAGGAAGGCTGTGTCATCTACAGTACTTCACTAGGTAGAGGGAGGAAGGCTGTGTCATCTACAGTACATCACTAGGTAGAGGGAGGAAGGCTGTGTCATCTACAGTACATCACTAGGTAGAGGGAGGAAGGCTGTGTCATCTACAGTACATCACTAGGTAGAGGGAGGAAGGCTGTGTCATCTACAGTACTTCACTAGGTAGAGGGAGGAAGGCTGTGTCATCTACAGTACTTCACTAGGTAGAGGGAGGAAGGCTGTGTCATCTACAGTACATCACTAGGTAGAGGGAGGAAGGCTGTGTCATCTACAGTACATCACTAGGTAGAGGGAGGAAGGCTGTGTCATCTACAGTACTTCACTAGGTAGAGGGAGGAAGGCTGTGTCATCTACAGTACTTCACTAGTAGAGGGAGGAAGGCTGTGTCATCTACAGTACATCACTAGGTAGAGGAGGAAGGCTGTGTCATCTACAGTACATCACTAGGTAGAGGAGGAAGGCTGTGTCATCTACAGTACATCACTAGGTAGAGGGAGGAAGGCTGTGTCATCTACAGTACTTCACTAGGTAGAGGGGAAGGAACAGTACATCACTAGGTAGAGGGAGGAAGGCTGTGTCATCTACAGTACATCACTAGGTCATCTACAGTACATCTACAGTACATCACTAGGTAGAGGGTAGGAGGAAGGCTGTGTCATCTACAGTACATCACTAGGTAGAGGGAGGAAGGCTGTGTCATCTACAGTACATCACTAGGTAGAGGGAGGAAGGCTGTGTCATCTACAGTACTTCACTAGGTAGAGGGAGGAAGGCTGTGTCATCTACAGTACTTCACTAGGTAGAGGGAGGAAGGCTGTGTCATCTACAGTACATCACTAGGTAGAGGGAGGAAGGCTGTGTCATCTACAGTACTTCACTAGGTAGAGGGAGGAAGGCTGTGTCATCTACAGTACTTCACTAGGTAGAGGGAGGAAGGCTGTGTCATCTACAGTACTTCACTAGGTAGAGGGAGGAAGGCTGTGTCATCTACAGTACTTCACTAGGTAGAGGGAGGAAGGCTGTGTCATCTACAGTACTTCACTAGGTAGAGGGAGGAAGGCTGTGTCATCTACAGTACATCACTAGGTAGAGGGAGGAAGGCTGTGTCATCTACAGTACTTCACTAGGTAGAACAGGGGTTCTTAACCTGGGGTCCATGGACCCCGGGGTCCATGGATGGGCTTCAGGGGGTCCGTGAAGGTCAGATAAAAATTTAACATTTATCTTCAAGCCAAACAACAACAACCTTCACATTGAAATGAATTTTTGAGCAGAATTAAAGTTTTGTTTTGTCTAATTTGCACAAGATGATTGTATTTCATTTTTGTATGGAGTGGCCATTAATTTTTGCATAAAAAAGTGTGAAACATAATTCTTTGTTAAGATTGTTTACTTTATTCAGACTTTGTGTATGTCATACACTGTATGAGGCAATGAATTTTCAATAAAATAAAGTATATTCATTGCATGCAAAGTTGTGTTTATGTGCTTATGTGCATTTTTCTAGGGAGGGGGTCCATAGCTTTCACCAGATTCTCAAAGGGGTCGTCCGTGACTCAAAAAAGGTTAAGAACCACTGAGGTAGAGGGAGGAAGGCTGATGTTAACGCTGGCGGTGTGGTGGACGGGCGGGCGTCAGTAGTGCCCACAGGAGTGTTAATGGAGAGGACATGGCTACTGGCTGACTATGGAGGACCAAGACAGGAAGAGAAAAAAAATGACCTTAATTAAAATGATTAAACCATCTTAGTAAAGTATTAATTTATGATTGTGTCGGCCATAACCTCTTTCGTTAGTCTTATTATCAGCATAGGAAAGATCAAGAGTCGCTATTGAGGGAGGGAGGGAAGACGATCATAATCTTGTAAACGATGGAAAACGTAAACACAGGCCATTTTTGGTGTTGTCACGCGCCACCAACACGAGACGGAACAACGTCAAGATCGCCAAAGGTCTCATGCAGGACGAGTTATAAGGAAATACTTCTTCACACACAGCCTTATACACCTATCAACTCAAACTGTGGAATCTAGAGCAGTACTGGACTTAACTGATCCTAGACAAGACTACCACGAACAATGGAGGGATCCTACACAGGCCACGTGACTCCTCTAGTGGATGGCTATTAGGTAAATAAGATAGGTAGGAAAAGGTGAGGGAAGGACAGAGGGGAAAATACATACATGTCTGTGTGTGTGTGTGTGTGTGTGTGTGTGTGTGTGTGTGTGTGTGTGTGTGTGTGTGTGTGCAGGTAGGTAGGTAATTAACAAACTTATCCTCGGGTTACCCAAAATAGTGAGCTAATCAGCGGGTGTATAGACTACAGCGCCGTCGACACTTTAACACAGAGGCGAGTGGTGGTCCGGTGCCGCTTTAAGGGCCTCGCTGACCTAAACATTCTTACGCTCCTTCCTGACTGAGGCATCATTCACACCTAACTACCCTCCACCCCAAGGTCAGCCCCTCGTACCAGCCCCAGCGGTGACAATAGTCGTGTTATGGGAGAGTGTATTTACCTGCAAGTAATCTGAGGAAATGGTATGGGTATAGATGATAAGAGGGTGGAAGTGTGTGAGTATTGTTGTTGGTGGAGGAGGGTGTAGGGGAGGGTGTAGGACACAGGAGGACTGCCCCTGGCCTGGCCCACACCCCTCATGCTACACACTACTCACACACAATACTTTCTCACGTTACACCCATCTTGTGTTCTTACACCCACTAATGTCCCTCACAGCCTTAAGTGACGTAAGATGTTGAGAGGTTGGGTGAGTTGAGGGGTGTGTGAGACATGTCACTCGTGTTATAAAAAGATATTAAGGGAGTGATTTTCGATGCGTGTTGCAACCCCCTTTCAAAGTCATGTCGAGACCACATTGTCTCCAAACTTGAACACGCCTCTTTTGCCTCAGGCTCCTCCTTTACTTTACTTTTGGCCAACGGAAACTCTCCTTTTGGCCGATATTTCCGCCCAGTATTGATCACATGACCGGGGGCGGCCAATGGGAGTGCGCGCTGCCGGCTCTGCCCCGCCCACAACAATGGCCAGGCCTTCTGGGTTGCCGATCGCGCGGGTACAAGTGCGTGTGATTATTGAATTAAGCTTATCATTTGATTTCTCCGCGTGGTGGTGAGCACACGGCACTAAGAGACCGGCACTAATATCATCAGTAATAATTTGATATCATCTGTAATAATTTGATAGGCTCGCTGATCCAATTAGGCCAGTGACTTGAGGAGTTGCATTAATAACACAATTAGGACGGTCGACTACAATCTCACCTGAGGATTGTCCGCGTGGTTGGTTGTTGTGGGTGGTTGTGGAGGCAGCGTAGTTCTGCTGAAGGTGCAGTACGTCCCCGGCAGGATGGACTACGCCTACCTCAACCAGGCGGCGGCGGCGGGGTTCGAGGCGTCCTCCTGCAGCCTCGGCGGGACGCTCGGCGGCTCCATGGACGCCACCCACGCCCCTTACACCTACGGCGACCTGACCTCCTGCTCCCAGATGCCCTCCGCCTACCGCTACACGGGCGCGGGTGTGAGGGGTTACAACACGGGCGTGGGCGTGGGTGTGGGCGTTGGGTCACAGCAGTGCGGCGTGATGGGGCGACCTCAGGACCACCGCGCCATGTTCCCGGCCTCTGTCACACCCGTCAACCTTCAGAGTAAGTGTCACCTCTTGTGTACACCCTGACACACACACACACACCCTGACACACACACACACACCCTGACACACACACCCTGACACACACATACACACACACACACACACACACACTGACACACACACGTCAAGTACCGCCCAGCAGGACTCCCCAAAAAAACAAAGCTAAAAACATCTACCCACAACCCTGAACCTTCCCGAGTAACACACTATCACCCAACACCACC